AGGTTCAGACAGGGATATTTCCATGTTGAGACAACTTGAAGAGTTATCTGACGAATCTGGAGTAGATCAATCATTAGTCCGTAAACAAGAGTAGATAGAGTACTTGTAATGGAGCCTAGAGGTCTGCATTGGAAGAAAGGCTTAATTGTGTCCTATCAGACTGCTTGCAATTGTTATACCATTAAATAAAAAGTTCCTGGCATAGAAAACTCCCACGTTTCTGAGGAATCAGTAGGGATGTCGCTTTTCCTATTAAAATTCTAAGGTGGTTTCTGACTGCTTGAGTAATTGCCTTACTATTGGTTATGCTGTGCTTTGGAAGAATCTGGCAGCTGCTTTGGAGAATTTCAGCTTTCTAAGTTGGAAAGTTAACAGCTGCCTTGCTCTGTTCAAGAATGTGCTTTATTCAGCTCTATCAGTGCTTCTGGGTATATTCTTTAACTGTTAAGACATTTTTTTCTCTAGCTTTTGTATTCTGGTCATAGGAATGCTGAGAGGATTTTAACAGAACTGTTTCTGATTGCATTCCTGCATTTTGGTAACTAAAGGAGTTGCTAAATTTAAAGTTTGCTACTGTTGGCAGACACATCCTTTTAATAGGATTTACATGATTTTCTTGCTTCTTGCCTAAGGTGAGGGGGTTGGAAGAAAAAGTAGGATACAATTTCTTGAGCGGTTCAGGAGCTGATCGTCATGCTCCCATGTCCCTGTAGCAGACTAGCATTTTGGTCAAAGGGTAGTTTTTGTAGTTATGTAGTGTTTTATGTTTATGTAGTGTTTTACTGTAGATTGTGTGGTTAGTATTGTGTATCTGAATAACAAAATGGAACTAAATTCTGTCAGGTGCTAGACAGAATGACTTTGTTTAGTGTAGTGCTTTTCAAAAACATTCAGGACAAAAATGCCAGGGCAAGCTTTTGTTTATCTGGACATGTGAACTATAGCTGGTAGCTGGCATAGTCTAGAAATCACTACCTAGCTCTAACACTCAGGGGGAGGGGTGAGGCATGATTTGAGAGTCTTGCTTTTTTGGCAGTGAATTGAGTTTGTGTGTCAAGGTTCGATTTGTAACAGATTAACAATCAATCTGGTGTTGCTAAACAATAGATTAGCAATTGCTCACTGGAGTAACTGGTGAGTGATCTCTGTCCTTATCTCTCCCCACAGCTTTTGAGCTTTCTGTTGTATTTTCTCTCCCCTGCCCAGCTGAGATGGGGAGTGACAAAATGGCTTTGGTGGGCACCTGGTGTCCAGCCTGGGTCAACCCAACATGTGCAGGGTTTTTGGCTTTTCCCCCTGAACAGGATTCCTCCATATACTCTTGTGCCTTATTTCAAGCTTGAGAGTGCCACAAGAGGTACATGGCAGGCAAAACTTTGTCCATAACTGTAGCCTCATCACTTGGTAGCCAAAGAAAAGGAGAGCTAAGTCCAAACTGTGGCTTGGAAGTATATGGGCAGTATACAGTTGAAGCAAAAATGCTTCTGCTTTTCCAGTGTGTGCTGACTGAAGTCCCATTGGTGAGGCATATGGCTCTGTTTGCCTTTTTTACAGCCAAGAACAGCCAGCCAAAGATTCAAGCATTGTTCTTTAGATTTTTATTCTGCTGTTTAGTTTTCATTAGCAAATTTCCTTTCAAATGAAATCTTGCTTAGGCTAAACTTGCTAACCATATGTGGAATAGTAATTATAGTTAATCTAGAAGTAAAATTGTTTTATCACCTCCAGACCTGGTTTCTGCATACATAGTACAGTGTCACCTACATTACTGATGGTATTCCCATGTTGTCTGAGCAGCTCTTAATATTGAGAAGGGGAACTGGGCATGGTCAGCAAAGCAAGGCAGTTTATCAGGCCTTTATATTCAGGTCCATGGTTTTGGAGTGGCATGGAGGATTCTTTTATTCTCCAGCCTGCCACTCAAGGGTGCAGGTACATATTCCTGCTGTAGATGCACACAGTGTCTGGCTCTGTATCAGGCTGTGCAGATCCTCAGCCTTTATGTGAGTGGACAAATGGGTGTCATCTCTACTACAAAAATTTTAGGGAAAGGGAGTTTAGTGAATGGTGCTGTCTCCAAAGCATCTCATACTAAAAGAGTTTCCTGGATTGCTTTAACTGTTAGGTAAGGAACAGACTGTTCCCTTTTTGCATTTTGGAAGAATGAAAGAATAAAGTGCCAATTCCATGCTTTGGGCAATACTTGGCAATGTGAACAGACTGAACCCTTAAATCCATTGTTGTTAATGTTAATGCCACGGCTTAGGGTTTGAGGAATCTGGATGCAAGTACTACTTTTGAGTGGCTTTTATTTGTGTCTTAGTTTCTTTAATTTTAATATTTTTTTAAGCTGTGGATTTAGAGTTGTTTACTATCCAGGTGAAATATGTTCAGTGCCAGAGCAACACGTGTACAGATGACTGATATATTTCAGTTATCAGTCAGATGCAAACTTGGTTGCTTTGCTTCAGAAATGAGCCTTTCAAACAATTATTCACTTTGAAGCTATTAAAACTGTAAGACCATAGATTATGTGATAATAATGCAGTAGGTTGAGTTTATTAAAAATACAGCTATATGGATATGCAAATTCATTGTTTTATTCAGATTTAGAGGCTCTTTGATATTTTTTCTTTGTAGTTTTATTTTAATCTCCTAATATATTTGAGAAACATTTCTCTTTATATGAGCAAAATGACTGTAGAGGAGATGGCTGTACCAAAAATGGAATGCTATGGTAGCTACTGAGTCCAGCTAAAAACCTGAAATAGCTGGGCTTACAACTGGCAGTGAAATTACATTGGTAAGTAGGATTATCCATGTATCTACTAATAATATAAAGTAAATGACATCACACGCAGCTGAAATCTGTTTCCATCTGTGGAAACTGCCTTTGTTTTTTCTGCTACATTCCTGCAGTGTGCTGATACTCAGTGTGAAATACAAACCACGCTTTGAAAAATAACACTCAAGCTTTTAAATTTGAAAAGCCATAGAATAATTGGGGACATCCTTAAAGTAGTTGTACAGTTTCTGTAGAAATATCAGAGGATGGATGTGCTTCTAATGTGTAGCAGTGGGTGTTGCTGACAGCTTTGAGCTTTTTGGAGGTGTGGATCCAAAGAGGAAAAGGACTAGAACATGTGGGGCTTTTGTGGCCATCTGTGTGCCCAGGCTCCCTGCTGTTCCTCCTCTAGCTGTTTGTGCCTCAGTCAGCTGCAGTGATCTCTCTGCCAGTATACTGATCCATCATGCAGAGATGGAAGGTAAAAGTGAGTTTGCTGGCCTTCAGCTGCACTCACTGAGGACAAGTTGCCTTTTGGCCTGTAAATTTGCCTGGTAGGCTTAACTAAAGTCAGAGGACTTTGCCTGCGTGAAGAAGATGGTGGTGCCAGAGTTGGCAGCAGCATCATGCCACGCTTTCAGTGTCAGCTCTGGCTGTAAGGAGATAAAAACTTGACAGTACTGTTCCTATTATTACTGACTAAAGGTGCTGGTGTTTTCTTTCAATCCTGTCTACCCACTTCTAGTGAACAAACAAGTTTTTCTTGCACTTCCATTTTACAGCAGTATTGAAAACACTATTAAATTATTATATATTGGTGTATATATAATAAAATAATATTATGGAATAATATGATAATGATATATTGTGATGTTAACCACTGTGCTCTGTAGTTTTAAAGTGATTTCTAGAACTATTCTTTAAAATAAAAAGTGGCTACTAAAATAGGTATTTTTTAACTCCTGATTTGATTATTATTGAGTAACAGATTTTTCTAGATGGGAAAAGCTAGGTAGCTTTGTTGTATTTGTCTTATGCTAGTGTTCTTATTTAACTTGAGGTCATCTTTTGTTTTATGATTGTCTTACTGTTGCTGTAGTAAGTTTTCTGCTTAAGATCAGTTGTTTCTGAAGAAGTGTTCTTAAAATTCTATGTTGTCCCTGTTCAAGTTTATAGCAGTGCGAGAGTGATATGTTCAGAGGATAAATTGCTGTTTAAATTTAAGAATACATTGTTTTCCTTATAGAAGAAATGCTACCTGACAGTAAAGTGAGTGGAAAAGTGTAGCTGAAAAATCTGTAAAGTGAAATACTGAAGCTGTTTCCCTTTCATGTGCTTCATTGCAAGACACATGAGCAGGCTACTAATAGTTATTTAAATAACTTTGGAGTGCTAGTTTTAGAATTAGGGAGAGGTGCATAGATGACCAGTAACTGGTGGAGTTATTATGCATGTCAGACAGTTGGTGGTGGTTATGGTGTTCAGGAACCTCTTCTGTATCTTCTCTTTGAACAAATAACTTCTACCCTTATGAAGTCTGTTTTATGGGTTAAAGGATGAGCAAAGGCTTTTCTTATCTCTAATACAGTTATAATTTCAGCCAGAACAAGAGAAGGTGAGAGATATTAGAGCCAGTGTGTTCCAGAGCAGAGGTTTCCACAGGGACAAAATGCAATTCAATTAATTCCTGCTTTTTCCTCGATTTCTAAATGTCGCTGTTGCAGAGTTCTAGCAAAAGGAGATGAAATTTTGTACGTCAGTGTTGTCTTAAAATTATTTTGGAAATAAGATTCTGGTAATCTGATGAAAGTAAATGAATGTGATTAACTGCTGATAGGTTCAGAGGCTCTCCAAGTGTGATAGCACTGCTAGTGCTATCTTCTGGTGTGGACAGGCTGCAGGACTGGTTTTCCTTGTAGAAGAACCAGAACAACTGGTTTTACATTTTGTCTTAGAAACAGCCTTACAAAACAGTTTGTTGTCTTTAGGGCACACACCCTTTTATGTTCATGTTGTTCTAGTTTTGTTGATCATGAAACTTCTTCCAAGGAAAATATGACACTGATTTTTTTTTTTTTAATTTTGTAGATATTTTTTAATGCTAGAGAATAGGATTTTTTATCTTAAGTTGGCTGCATTGTTCTAATGATGTATTGTCACTGTTTTGTCATATACAGTGTAACAGATCCTGAAGGCTCTTTCTGTTTTCCAATAGGCTGGTGTTTGGGATGCTGTATCCTGCATACTACTCATACAAAGCTGTGAAGACGAAAAATGTGAAGGAATATGTAAGTCTCATTCCTTTTAATTGTTTAATTACATATCTCTGCTGACATAGATCTGTGACATGTTCATTGTGTAATAAATCATGTTAAAGCTTGAATTGACTGTCTTACTGTTAGGTACAGCACTTGTGTGAACCTAGTGGTAATCCTCTGGTTTTGTTCGGAGGACACGCTATGCTGTATAGATTTATTTTAGTGTATTTTTAATATAAACCCTAAAGTCTTGGTTCCATTTCAGCAAAGTACAATACTGAATACAATACTAAGTGTTGTACAATACTCAATACAAAACTAAGTACAATACTAATACAAAGTACTTTTAGGCAGGGAGTAGAATGAAAGTTTCCTAATTCTTCCAACACCGTATTGACAAACTGATTCACAGTGACCACTAGAAGAGCAGCAGCAGCTCAGTAGGGGACTCAGAACCTACCTAAAAACAGGTTAGTTCTTGCTAATCTATTGTTCCTCAAAGAGGAGAAAAAATGTAACTAGGGAAGGAAAAGATTTGGTTAAGGTGGTGCAGAGAAAAGAAGCAACACAGACAGAAGGGAAAGATGGAGAAAAACACAATTAGGGTTACTTCAGTTTTTAATTAAGCTATTAAATTATTTACTTGTCAGTGTGAGCAATGATGATAATCATGAGAATGTTAACCAGCTGCAGTCACAAGGAGCTTTAGTCACTGAGCTACTTCCCTGTTTTAAGAGACAGCCTGGCTTGATTTCAGCAAATAACCTGTCCTGTATCTTGGTCTTAATTTGGCTGCCTGACTCAGGGTAGGGTCAGGGCCATCAGTTACTCTTAACTTGGCAGCCATAGCTGTGACCTAGGGCTGTTGTCTGGTGTGTCATGTCTCCACTTTGTACCTGGTAGTAGTTGTAGACTGTGGTAGCTGTTGTTCCTCCCCTTGAATGTCTTAATTTAGCCTGATCACCCTATCTGGGCCTCAAAGGACATCATATTTGTACTTCTGATTTCTGTGTACAAGCTGATTGGAGCTTATTTGTGAGATAGAGCTGGTGCCTGCCAGAGTTAAACTCATGGGAGAAAAAAATCACCAAAACTAAGAGGAGAATTTTCTCTGTCTCATGCTCATATTACTCTGTCAGGAAAGTCAATAATGCAAGGAATTTATAATCTGCTTTTCCTCCCTGCTCCTTCAAAACTGATCCACAAGCTAAGTAGGGCATAGCAGTTTCCAACCAAAATAAAGGAAATCACTTTAATTGAAGAGGTTACCATTGCCTCTTGCACTATGTTTGCTAGAAAAAGAGAAGTAATGTTTTAGAATGCTGAGATTTTTTTTCACCTCAGTTGTCCAGTTAGCTGTGACCTAACTGTCTTTCTTGGGCATCCTTACACAGGACCCCTGCTAGCAGGGGCTGGAGTTATATTTTTCAGTTCTTTTAGTGTGAACCTGTGGTCTTTGAACAGTCCACGGTTCACTGTATGTGAACTTGCAGTCAGATACAAAATATTCATGGCACCAAGATGAATAAGAGCCATCACAGTGACTTTTTCATTAGCAGGGCATGACAATGACTCAACAGTGAGTTATCACTCCATTGCTGGCTGGGTTGACTGTCCACATAGGTCTTAGGGGGTGATCCATGGCTGTCATTTTCCCAGCTGGGTCATTTTCTTTCACAGTAAAGGATTTAGATTTAAATGCAGCTTTCCAAATGGCTCAGGTCTGCTGCCACTTGCATTGTGGCGCAAGCACAACTTCCTTTCCAGGGTTTTGTGTGGCTCAGGAGCCAACTGTGTGTGTTGCTGAATTGATAACAGCTTTGTAACAGTAAGATACTTTACTCAGCCACTACTTCCACCACTAAAAACCAACCAAACAAAAAGAATAGACACCTTGGCTTGTTGTGTAGGTCATGATGCAGCAAACTGGTCAAAGATTATTTCTGGGAGAAAACGTGTTGTGCTGATTATGATAATTTAAAAGACTTATGCACTTTGATGATAAAAATTAGAATCTGTGCCTTTGAGGAGATTTATTTGTTGTAATTCCCCTGGTTTAATGGGGTTGACTAAGATATTTGAAATGTTTTTTCACTGTATTTCACTGAAGCACTTGAAATAAACATATGAAATGTAGTTTATAATCTGAATAGACCAGCCTTTTCAAATCCTGGCTTCCAAATCCTGACCTGAAAGAATGTGCTTTAGCCAGAGCCAACAAAGATGAGTTTAACACTTGGATGCTAGGAAAAAAAACTCCACAATGAAACAAATCTGTAATCACTCTTTTAACATGAAAAGCAGAACTCAAAGCTTCTGTTACTTGAAGTAGATGACAGTGTTCTGGGTAGTGTGAAATCTGACCTTCAATTTTTCATGTCTTTTTTTTCTTTTTTTCTGTTATGAAAACCCCTTTAAGATGCTCAGGTTCATTTGTCAAGGATATTTGTGGTACCTACTGCATTGGTTGTACTAGAATATGATTTGTGTTTTACAGAATCTTTGCCCAGTCCTCAGCAGGACTCCTGGCAGATCTCATGTGCCCTTCTGCAGGGCTTTTTTAACTGTTCCTAACAGCCTGGGAGAAATTCCACTTCCACTGTTGTCCTTGATTGGGTAAATAGGTGTTGATTCAAGAAAGAACAGCCTGGATAAATCATTTTGGGGAGAAACACAGTCTTGTGTGGCATCTTAAAAATTGCATTGCATTATGCTTAAGTTGATGGGGCAAGGTTGGATTTAATTTTGTTTTCATTCAGGTGTTGACTCAGGTTCATGGAAGGGTCACCAGTCTAAATATCACATGGCTTGTCAGCAGTGACTTCAGCTGTTGTGTACATTTGTCTTCATTTATTCAAGCCTAAAATATCTAAATCCTCTGAGAGATTGAAATGAAGAATGTTATCACATGACTGAGTTTCTTTTCACACTGAAACACAGAAGAGCATTTAAGATTAATGGGTCTCAGGTTCTGACAGAGGAAGTGGTTTTAAGCTATAATGCACATCCATGAAATAGGCAGTGTATCATTAAGTTTTGAGTAGTTATTTAAATCCACTTCAAAAAAGATTGTTTTAAAAGTGAAGATTAAATCTGAGCCACATCGTCTGTGGGAAGGTGTGTGTATATAGATATCCTCCCTTCAAAAGAGAGTACCCTGAATTTAGGGCTCAAACTAGTCTCTAACAGTTGTGGTGGTTTTGTTTTCTTCTTTGCTGGTTTGGTTTTTTGTTTTTAAATGGTTTTGTGTTGTTGCAGGCTTTTTTCTAGGAATTTAAAGAACATGTGGATATTCAGTTTGTACAAATAACCAGTGGTGGTTTGCAGTGACCCATTTTGGAAATACTTTGCATTTGGCATCTGATAGTTTAGGGAAGACAAATGCATTGGGAACTATTTCTGTAGTATTTTTTCTGAAAGATGTAATCAGCTTAGGCAACCACATTTGAACAAATGATGAAGAAAAATGAGTGAGTTTCTTAACTGTTATAAAACAAACGATACTATTTTGAGAATATTGTCTGAACAAAGCAATCATATATAGTGCAAACCTTAAATAAAAAAATGTTTATACCTGTAAACCCCATAAGCATTAACATGTGAGCTTTTTTATTAACAAGAATTTTGTAGTTCTTGGGATATAAACAGAATTAAAATCTCCATGAAAATGCTTTTTATGTTGCCTTGCCTCAGTGTTGATACCATACTAGTAATCACAGGTGTGGAACTTAATGTAAAGCTGAATAACACATACTGTGAAATGAAGGCAAGGGCTGCTTCACTAATGCTGCCTTTCGTGTGCATGATATGCACATAAACTTATATATGAACATGTGGTTGAGTGTGGAAGAGAATGAAATATGCTTTAGTTTTATGGTGGCAATTGCTCTTTATGCTTAAAAAAAACCCAAAAAACAAACAATAAAAAAACAGTGCAGAATTGGTAGACGATCCTATCACTAAAGCTTTGTAGAGGCAGATTCAAATCTGTGAAGCCAGCCTAGGTGAGGTTGTGACCCTGGTGACACAGCCATTTCACTGAGCTTGTTGCAGCTTCCACCAGTTCTACTTGTGAACAGAAATCTTTCAGGATCATCACCTGATCATTTCACCTGAAACCTGATTTATGAAGACTAAGCTACTGTTGAATGTCTTGCTTTGACAACTCTGAACACACTGTACAGTGTACAGTATATTATGTGTAAAGGTGAAATCCAAGCTCTTAGTGAAGATGATATTTTAATTTCCAGGTTCGCTGGATGATGTACTGGATTGTGTTTGCTCTTTATACAGTGACTGAAACAATAACTGACCTAACAGTCTCTTGGTAAGACCCTGCTTTTTATGAACTCTAAAGGAAACTACATTTGTTTCTGATGTTTTTTGATTTGTACTGATTTAATTTTGTATCACGAAGTTGTGCTTGCGGAATAACCCTTTTTTCAGTAAAAGATCTTGGTGCATAGATGAACAGCATCTGTTTTCCAGTTTGCTGTACGCTGTCACTTGAAGTAGGGACTATAACATTTCCAGCTTCACTGTAGAAAGTGAACAGGGGAATGGAACTCTTAAAAAGATGGCCAAGAATTTCTCTATGCAGGAATGTATTTATGAAAAGCCAAGTATATTAACTGTTGTAATTTTTTAAATGACAGTACTCCATAAATCCATAACTCATTTAATTTTTGTCTGATGTTACTTCTTGTATTTAAAGAATCCTGTATGCTAATCTAACTGAACTGTGGTTTTTTAAAAGATCTCTTCATAATGATTAATTACTGTGCTTTTTCTTACTCTAGTTGTTGATTTTGTGCAACCTTTAACTTGTCTGTTTGTGCAGGTTTCCACTGTACTATGAACTGAAGATAGCTTTTGTTATCTGGCTCCTTTCCCCATATACTAGAGGGGCAAGTTTAATCTACAGAAAATTCCTCCACCCACTGCTTTCTTCTAAAGAAAGGGTAAGAAATTACTTCTCAGATTTTTAATGCCTAATATGGAAACACCATATGCTGAAATAAAAGCTGTTGCTAGATACACTGTAAAAGCAGAGCAGCTTGTTACTGTCTTGCCTGGCAGCATGAATTTGGACTAGCAGAGGCAAGTGCACATGACTGTCTTTGTCTGTGCTTCTGTTCCACTTGCCTGAGCAGACAAGGTCCTGCTTCCTATTGACATGAGAGCTTGGTGTTCCCTGCTCTGCTTGATGCGCTCTGAGGAGCCCCTCTGAGCTGAGTGGAAGTGATGCAGCTTGACTTTCCACTGCAAGCACGTGTGCAGTGCTCTCTGCACAGAACTATGAACACAGCCTTACAAAAGCTGTTTATGTTAACATTTTTTTTCCTAGCATAAACTAGTAATAACACTTCTCAGGATGATTGACATCGATGACTTTTTTTGTTTTGCAAACTGACGAGATAAGAGGAGAGACTTGTCACTGAGTTTTAAGGGTACACCAGCCTGCGACAGTAAATATCCAAACATAAAAATAGCTAGAAGATGGTTAGCTTTAGTCAAAGCACGACAGGGGGACAGGTCTGCTTAGCTCTTTTTCAGCATCCTGCTTGGATGTGTGGAAAGAGCAATTAGCAAAGGTGTGAAGACAAGCACTGAGAAGCCTCACACTACAGAAAATAGCATTCCTAAAGGTCAGTTCATAAAGCTAGGCTTGGCCTTTATTAGGCAAAGCAAGTAGCTGACAAGATTGCCACTGATAGGAACAGTAAGGTCATCTTGACCTTCTGAAGATTGTGCTATAAACAATTTTCGACTTTGTAAGGTGAAGGGATATGTCCCTGTAGTCTGCAAGCTGTTGGGAAGTACCTTGCAGACTTTTATCTTCAACTCTAGGTATTTACCAGAGCTGGAGATAAATGTCATGACTGTATTGTCCTTGGTGCTTAACTATTTCAAAGCTGTGCCTTTGGGAGTTCTCTGTAAGTCAGCTCTACCATTCTAGGGGAGCTCCTTGACTTCTTCATGTTAGATGATGTTATTTCTTGAAATGCTTCTGTCCAATAAGTTAAGCTTACTCTGTGTAAGAAGCTTGTTGCAATGTTTCTGAGCTGTACAAAAGTAATCTACTTTATCTTCTTGTTTGACCACATATAATCCTTTTTTTAAATGAGACAATTGTAATGAAAGGAACATCTGAATACAAAGATATATCCCATTAAATATTTCTTCTGTCTTCCTTTGCTGATGGAAAAATAATACTGTGGAGTAATTTTGCTCTAAGAACAGCCTTCTAAAATTTAAAATGTTTTTCTTTTAGGAGATTGATGAGTACATTGTCCAAGCCAAAGAAAGAGGCTATGAGACCATGGTGAATTTTGGAAGGCAAGGGTTGAATTTGGCAGCAACTGCTGCAGTGACAGCAGCTGTAAAGGTAAGTTTCTGTTTGCATTAATTGCTTTTGAGTTTGATAAAGAACAGTGTAATTTTAGTGAGGATTTACCACTCTTGTATAAGAAAGATAAATTCTGCAAGTCTACTGAAAACCTGGGACACAATTAAAGGCTTGCAGCCCTCTCCTCCTCATACTGTTTGTTGGTTTGTTTGTTTATGATGGCTTGTATTCTTATTTCTTGGATGATCAGATCAGTTTACTCTAATTCAAAAGGTACCATTCAGTTTTTTGTGCAGGCTTTTAATAAAGATGACCATTGTTTCTTTTCTGTCTCTGTTGTTCTTCCTTGTTGATAAACAAACTTTTTAAAGGATTTCTGGCTTTTCTGCTGTTTTTCTCCAATCAACCTGAGGTAATGCCACATATGAATTAAGGCATGAAAGACTACTACCATGGTTAAAAATTCTCTTGACACAATTAATCTGTTTGCAGCTTGTTGAGTGAATTATTAAATTAATATACTAAGCATAAGCCTGCCTATTGGTGTTTAGCCTATACTTGCTTTGTCTTGTGGTTTCTATTAAATTATGGAGTAATCTGTTGTTTTTCCCAGATTACCTTCCTACAAAAACTCGTCACCTTCAGTATTTCAGAGAGCTGTGGGTGTAAGAAAGACAAAATACAAGCTTATATGTAAGATTCTAAGCAATTTGTGCACCACTGAAAGGAATATACTTGAGACAATGTGTATCCTACCTAATAGTAATTTAAACCAAAATAAAAAAGAGAAAGGTGTATGTCCAAGTGAAGTCACAGGTTTAAGACAATCAGGATTAATTTCTTCCTGGGAATAAATGGAACCATTGTGCTCACAGTAACATCACTGAAAACCTGAACCATCTACTACTGTCAGTAGATAACAGCAAACAGTGTAGAGATCCCTGGCTGTCAAAGCTGAGTATGTATAGCTGGCATTTAGCTTAAATGTCTGGGCTTCTATGTGAACTTCCTGCACTATAAATAAAAGACATTCCTAAAAACTACGTTTTCACATGCTACCTCAAAAAGCTTTGGAAAAGTAGTCATGCATATCTTGTTTGTTTATTTTCTCTTTTTTTAAAGATATGTGTGGGTGGTAGCATTATAGCTTTTTGTTTTTAAATATGGTCATAATGAGCCTAAAATACTGAGAAAGTGATGAAATTTGATCACTGTAGGGGTTTTATTGTTATTCAAATTCTTAATATTGCCATGAGACATGAAATAATTTAGAATGCAATAAAATGCACCTCCAAAGGAATGAAAGTATTCAGAGTGAAAGTTGGTTATTTAAATAAACCAAATAAACACAACACACAAACACCCAAAGTGCTCTACCGGGAGAAAAAGTTTGATTGCTAAATGCTAAAATGAAAATTCTTTGTATTACAAATTTATTACAATAAGCACCTGTAAGGATTCTTAGGCTTTGTATGTGTTCCTCATGTTTGGCTATGGTTGAATATTTTTAGGTTCTATCAGAAATATTGTAAAATACATAACACTGGTATCTCCTCCCACTTTCTTCTGAAATAATGAATAACTTTTTCTGAAATGTCTGTGTTTAGATTTCATTGCTATTCAGCTGTGACTGGCAAGATGCCTGCTCTATTTGTTAAAACTCGTTCAACATGCTCATGAATATTTGTACAGAATTAGTTAAGTGCAGATCAGATGCTTGGGAAAAACAACCACCACAATACCAAAGAACCAAAATAGGCATGATTTTTAAACAGTATGAAAGAGGAGACTCACTGAAAAAAATCTTTATTTTGGCATGTTAAGCCCCTTGGGTTTGTCATGCCAAAATGCTGAGCGTGCCTGCTCCATGCAAGCAAATAGACACAATGCATGTGTTCTTGATTTTGTTCCCTGTTTTTCAAGAGTTGACTGCTGCCTCCAGCAGGTGAAAAGATTATCCTGTCACCATGAGCTGGTGGAACGTGCTATAGGATTTCAGGAACAGAACTGTAGTAGTGGGATCAGTCTTGATGGGAAGAAGAGCACACTTTCATGATTAGGTTTTTTTTTTAACCCATTTTTTTTTCGGTAGAGCACACATGCTTGTTCTGACATAGCAGATCTCAAATTGGGAGAGGGGGAGAGGCTAAACATGTGTGCAAAGTTGAACCTATGTCAATAAAGTGTCCAAGAAAACTGCTTATGCTGACTTTAGGAGGCTGTTAAAAATGGCTTGGAAAGTTGCTGAAATATTTTGAATATCAAATGTGGGAGAGAGTGATTTTCTTCAAGAGTTGTCAATGGAATAGGGGATTACCATTGCAAGGCTTGTTGGCTCTGTTAGGGAGGTTGGAGCAGCCAGCCAGGTCAGTCTACTGAGATTTGATGTAGATTTAAACCTGCTCCTCTATAGTTAAATTTAAATGTATTTGGCAGGAGCAGTGGCTTATAGCTTACATTGTCGTACTGATATTTTTAGCTGCTAGTAGTTAGCCACTGTTCATATAAAATGTAGTGTTTCAAAACCTGCTAGATAGCATACATTAGCAAAATAAATTGTGTTAAATTGGCATGTCAGAAAACAAATCTTTATCAAATTCTTATTTCAGAAGATTTAGAGATGAAAGATTTTCTGTGATGAATTTTTATTTATTGAAGGAAACTTTTATTAGTAGAAGAATCAGAAACAAGATGCCTCAATATATCAGTAGTATATGGATTTGGAGCAATTACATCCACAACACTTAAGTTCCAATGATCTATCTCATACTTTGATGCATCTGCTTTTTAGGTCTTCTGAGATGATGGCTACCTCTATGTTTCTATTTCTGCCAATCCATGAATTCAGATTTCTTGAGCTACTAGTGAAAACTGGTGTCTTTATCACTATGAGCAGTGAGCACAACTACTTAAGCTGTGAAATACTCAGTCTCTCTTTATGAGGTCACACAAATAGTGTTAATTTGTAAAGTGGTGGTGGTGGAGATAATGTGTTTTGAGGGCTGTGTTTTCTGCATGCCTTCTAGACATCCTGAATCTGCTGCCTTTTTGCTGATTGAGTATTATTCTCCTGGCCTCACTCACCCTTCCCCTTCTCCCCACTCAGGGCACAGCAGAGGAAGGAGGTATCTTGCAGCCAGCTGTGGCACACAGCCAGTATCACTGGGGAGCAGTCCTGCTTCCATCCTCTTCCCTGCTGGGGCTGCCTGGCGTGCTGCAGGGGTCATTCACAGGACAGCAGTCCCTGTCCAGGCTGAGAGGGAGCAGAAGTCATTCCCTGTCAGCTTGGATGGCATCAGGGAGAGAACAGCTGAGCATGTGGGTGCTGCATGCTGCACAGTCCACTGGGAGCTGGTCCAAGGAGGGCAGGCAGCTTCAGTCTGTGATCCTGGCCACTGCGGGGTGCAAGTCCCCTGGGAACAGCAGAGTCCCTGAGGCAGACAACGTGGTGTTTGTTTACAGCTACTTCCCTGCCTTAGGCATACAGACTATAAAAGTACATGCTCAACAACGGAATAGAAAATGGCATTTCATATATGAGGGTCAGCTGATGAGACTGCATACTAATAGCTTACCAGGGGTTGAGTAGTCTCGAAAGGAGACCCTTAAATGGGTTATATTTATTTCAAAGAATTGATTTAGAAACATACTACGACTTTAATTGGTCTTTCACATTAGTCACTGCTAATGAATGTAGACTCCATATTCACGTAGTATGTTTTAGGAAATGCTATTGTGGAATGAAGAAAAATAATTCTTAAAGACTTGCATTTTGTTTAAGACAACACACAGACTTCACAGTTCATCTTGCTTCAGTGTTTGCCTACATAGAAATTTCAGTGCTAAAGTTATGTGATTTATTTTCTTTTCCCCTGGCATTGTAATTGTAAATGTATGTGTCTCAATCTTTTGTACTGTAATTTAGTTACCGGCCTCTGGGCTGAGTGCAGCCTGATGTATTCCTTCCTTACTGGCAGGGACTGTTGATGGAATGGGCCACCCGAGGTAGCTGCTCTACCATCTTCTCCTGAGCAGCATCTTGGGGTGTGTGTACCTGGGGAGAGGTGATGGCTGCTGCCATGTCCATGGCATGGGAGTGGAAGCAGGAGATCCTCCTCAGCTCCACCTACAATTAACTGCTGTGCTTTCAGTTTTTAGGGCAAACATGTTGCTTTCAAGCTTTAACTCTTTGACCTTTCAAACAAAATATTAAAGCTCTTAAAGCATTATTCTAAATGTGGATGTTACTCTCACATTTCCTGCTGTAAAGGGTATTTAATCTCACATTTCCTGCAGTAGGAAGGAATTAAATATTTTTCAACCAGACTTTCATCCTGAGCTGATAGTAATCCAGATCTACACAGAATACTTTGTTTCAGCAAAAAGCAATTAACTGCTGCTTTTGGGCATGGGGGTAGAAGAATCTTCTTAAGTCATAAATGCAGAGTGAGCACAGTGCTATGTGCACTCCCACAGAACACCTTGAATTTTGTCCTTCAGTCATTGCAGTGGAGTTAAAGTAGAAATCAATCTTGATTTGGCTAGACTGAATGTCCCCAGGGGTGGGGCCTGTGGGGAGTGGCTGCGTAGGATTAGTTTAGTGTGTGATGGGGACTGTCCAGCGCAGCACTGGCTGTGCAACTCCCATTCCTACTGTGGCTCTCGGGCATGTGTGCTGCATCTTTATTTGTGTATGTATCCTTTCAGACTTCTCAATGTTTTCTGTGTGTAACTTGAGTAAAACTTTCCATCTTGGCAAGTAGTTTTGGAATGAAGGGCCCATTGTATAAATCCCTTATGTCCTCCCTGAATGAGGCAGTGCTCCACAGGAGCTCCAGCTCAACCGTGCAGTTTGGTTAAGGGCACAATGTTATTTTATGGCACATACTTGACTTTTTTTCCCCTTTGAAAAACAAAATTCTGTATCCAAAAGCTGCATTGGAAAATAGGGTTGAATGTTCCCAGCTTGGATCTAGTCCTCTATCTACAGTGGAATAAGAAATACAGGCTTGTAATATGCACTCTTAGCATGTTAGTTGTTGTAATCTTAATTGCATTATTCTATACAATTTCCAAATGTTTTTTTTTGTAGTATATCACATGATGGATGAACTTGCTGAGCAACTGTTAAACAAATGTGTCTTTCTATACTTCTGCTGCTGGCCAAAACCAGCTTCTGTCACTATTTTAAGTAGACTCAGTTCTCACTTGGTGGGTAGAATTGTGCTGAATTTGTATGGATTCTGCTGAGAACCAGCTAGGTCCATTTTTTACATGCACCAGCATTCAGTGACTGAGACTTGAGTCTTGGACATTGGACACAAGCTGATGAACAGTCTTGTATGTTATGAGAGAGTAATATATATTCTGTAAGCTGTTACTTGTCAAAATAAGCAGTTCTTTCTCCAGTTCTTTTCTCCATGTCCTAGCAGCTGATAAAGTTCTCAGGAATAACTGGTTCCTGAAGTAGTTTACTTGAAATGCTTTTCTGTGCAAAAAGTGGAGTAGTGGAAGGGCAAGATTTTTCCTATCTTAGGAGGAACTTTAGGAGACCGTTTTGGTCTCTCTCAAATGAGCTGTTTTGGGGAATAAATTTGACTTCAGGATTTCTGCAGTCTTTAATACAGACACTGTGCACTGTTCATAGTGCATTTTAACTCAAAGGCAAGCTGTACTTTTTGAGCACTGAGTCATCCTACAAGTATGTAGGAAGCGATAGAAAAATTCAGGCTTCTACTTCTCTCACAAGAAACCTTTTCTTTGTTATTGTTTGGTGACAATGCATGAATGGTGGGGTGACAATTATAATAGGTTTGTTATGCTTCAGTAACACACTGTCCACTGTCTTAATTTTATATGCTGTACTAATAACTAGTCATTAGAAAATCAGTATTTCAGCCACTTTCCCCCCTGCCCTTTGTTACCCACATAAACTTAAGGAGCTTTAATTCAACTGTCTCTTCACTTTACATGGCTGTTTTTAACATGGAATAATTCAGCGTGCTGGTGTACCAATTGCAAACAGTTGTTGTCGTGAGTGGGAACAAATGGCTGTGGCCAGCAGTGCCAGAATTGCCTTCTGCTGGTACTGTTGCAGAGAAAGGTGTATGGAATTGTACCCAGGTTTCTGCTCCTGCTAGCTAACATGATGGTCAAACAAAGAATTTTACTTAAAAGCTGCATTTTTAAGAATGAAACAAACTCTTTAACATTTGCTTGAAGTGGAATTCGTGCATGGGCTTGTCAGCCTTTCCCTGAAATGGTTGTTTTTTGCCTTATGCCGGAGAGAGAAGAACTAAATGTTTTTTTTAACATGACTTTGAGTACTTGTTCTCATGGTCTTATTATTTTAGTTGCTTCTGCAATAAATTGATCTTTAATGCTTTAATAATAACATCATCTGATGTAAGATGAAAGAGCTACCGGGATGACCTTTCCTTCCAACAGGGAAATTTCCATATGTTCCATATGGAAAAAAAGTGAAGACAATTGAAGAAGGAATACTCAATCTTCATATGTGATTAACTATTCTCCTGTGTGGCATTAGATTTTGGGTTGGTATTATGTCAGTAAAGCTATATTAGTAAGAGGACCTGCTAGCCTGGAGTCCAGGCAGGACCTCTTTGGTGTGTGGTTTCAAGTTTCTGTCAACTGGAGCTGCTTTTATAGTGCTGCCAGTTTCTCAGTTATTTGAGTTAATGTTACAGAGTGTATTTTTAACACTTTTCTCCTCAACCTTATTCAAATTTGTAGAGGATAAAATACAAAATGGCAGAAGACTATCTTCAGCCATACTCTTTAAAGTGGAAGTGTTGCTGTCATGCTACCTTGAACTGCCATGTTTGAAGTGAGCATTTCTGATGTCTGTTTCTTTTAAACACTTACCCTCACCCAAGAAGTCTTTATTTGCTCAGATTAAAGAAGTGAAATGCAGCATTTGTAATTGAGCTGCCAGCTTGTGTAACTTTGTCATCTGGGAGCAATGTACAGTTAAGTGTGGGTAAAAGCAATCCCTAAATCAAATGTAAAGCAACTGCATGTGTATGTTCATTGTGTTTTGTTGTGCAGCAAGGAAGCATGGACATAAACATCTTAACCTAAGCTGAGCAGCAAAGTTAAACCTCTGCCTGGTTTCCAAAGATACTGTTGTTGTATTTCAGAGCCAAGGTGCAATAACTGAGAAACTGAGAAGTTTCAGTATGCATGATTTGACTGCTATACAAGGAGATGAGCCTGTTGGACAGAGACCTTATCAGACATTGCCAGAAGCTAAAAAGAAAACCAGAGCCTCTACAAGTGAATCTTCAGGTATGTATCTTTTTTTCTTCCCAACCTTGTGCTATTCGATTTTTCCCAAAGCAAAAGTCGAATAGCACAAATACATTCACCCCGTTTCTAAATGGAAAAGGCCTCAAAGAATTCCAGTACACTTAAACAGGCTACACTTAAGCAAAGCAAATTATGACAGTTAAGAAATCCTTCCTGAATTACTTTCTTCTCACAGCCATTCTCAGTGTAATCATACTGTATTCATTATTCCTGTCCTTGCCAGTTGGCAGCAAGAATTTATTGCCAAAGCAAAACTTAATTGGAAGTCAAACGTTACATGATTAAGTGGTGTTTCTGTGATAAATGTACAAGAAGTTAAACATGAAAGCATATGGAATCTCAGTAAATATAAGAGAAAATTAATAGCTATTAATTCACTGGGCTTGTAGTAATTGATCAAAATGTAAAATTGTATATGGTGATGGGAATAATAAAGGCATCAAGTTTTCATAATGGACTGCTGGCCATCAGCACTTAGAAGATGGTGTGTGGTGACCAATATATGGTTTTGTTCAGAGATACTATGATTTCATTATTATATTACTATTGTAATATATGTACTGTTACTGTCATTCTCACTTTGCTCTTGAGCTTGTGATGCTTGAAGGAAGGTTTTGCTGGAAGTCGGGTAACTATACCTTTTTAAATGGCAAGGCTACGATGTAAAGGAGCTGGTATTTCTCAGAAAAGAAGTAGATCTGGGCTATTTCTTTTCACCTAAGCCTGTCACTCCTCCTCATCCCTCCATTTTGGGGAGGAGTAGTGTTTGTGGGGTCCAAGGAATTCCATGAATAGTGTGGTAGCCCATGATGGTTGTAAGGAGTAGATGGCCAGCTGAAGGGGCCTAAACTGAATTGCACATTGTTTCCAGAAGGGATCCTGTGCAGGGTAGTGTGAACTGGAGCTTCTGGCTGGAGAGAAGGCCAAGAATTCATGAAGAGCTGCACTAGAGATGATGTTACTGCAGCTGTTGTGCAGGGTCCGTTCTTCAGTAAGAGAGCATTACTTACCTATCTGAAATAGTTTGAAAATGCTCTAAATTTAATGTCTTAAGAATATGCTTCTGTTTATATTATATAAATAATCACTGATTGTGGCATTCACCCTCAAATTTCAAAAAGCTTTCTTACAGCTGGTTGAACTTAATTAATTGTTTCTGCTCCTGGTCTGATATCTAGCATACAACTCTCATGTGTTCTTTGAATTTTCTGCAGTGTTAGGAACTTAAAAAAGATCAAAAGTACACATAGATTTAGGAACACTGCGTAGCAAAATTCTTCTGTGCTCAGCAGGATCTTATTTTTGTGGTCTGAGCTGGGAGTTCTCTGTAAATTGGTTGAAAAGGCCCAGTTGTAGAACATGGATCATAGGATGGTGCTGAGCTAGCACTGTGCTTGCTGTGAAAAAGGATGGGATCCTGATGCATCACGTGTTACAAACAGAGGTAAGGAAGTATTGGTGTCACTGCAAACACAGCTAGTCTGAAACAGAAAAACAGATATAATTGAAATAATTTGTGTTGAAAAAGATGAATTGAAACTGTACTGGAAGCAGAGATGTGTTGCCTCTAAAATGGCAGAAGAAAGTGACAGAACGTCTACCTCAAGTAGTTATTGAATAGATTATGTGATTCTAATTTCTAGGGGAAAACATTGAGGAAAAATAATAGCTAAGCCTAAATAAAACATTGGCTTAAGATGAAATGTACACAGGTCATTAATAAAGTTTGATTTGGAGTTCAAAAGGCGTTTCTGAGTGTTACAGCCTGTAGATTCTGGGATAAAAGGAGAGTTTGGCGGAGGAAGGAACCAGACTGGATTTGGGAGATTTGTGATAGGTCTGTGATGGGGATTTGGGGCTGTTGGACCCCAAGGAGCTTTTTGGCGTATGTTTTTAAGCAGTTTGTGCCCTCTAGTGAGAGTCTGAGGTAATAACCTTGGTCCTGGCTTTGCAGGGTGTTAACAGCCCTTAACAGTACTGGGGTGTGTTACCGACCTGAAAGGAGCTTTGGTAGTAAAAATGCAGGAGGGGTGAGAGTATGAAGAAGGATCCTATGGATGAGAGTCATGGAATGGTTTGTATTGGAAGGGACCTTTAAAGGTTTATGTAATTGTAACCTCCCTCTCATGTGGATTGTATCCAGAAATCTTAAGTACTTGTTAAGATGACCACTAAGGTTTTTGCAGTTCAGTGTAAAGCAGAAGATGTCAGCAGACTTGTGATTTCAGTTTTGACAATGGAAGAATCATTGCATTAGATACCTGTGGAACCAAGTGGCAGGATTAGAGGTACCAAACCCGTGGCAGAGTCAATGCTTCTGTTTTGACATGAGCACATAGTTTAAAAGGATAAATCGTGTGTGGTAAACATGAAAATCACGGCTTTCCTAGAAATCAGAAAGTTAAATCTACTTTTAAAATTTTTTTTTTTTAAGGTTACAAAGCTCCACTGGAACAAAATCACGGAGATGATAAAACAGATGAAGAGATGGAGGGGACACATTCAGAAGATGAAATGTTTGCTCAGAGAGGCCTTCGAAGAACTCAGAGTATGAAATCTGTGAAAACGATTAAAGGCCGTAAAGAGGCAAGTATGATCCTGGTTAACTGAGTTTGTTTTCTCTGTGTATATTGGCATTTTTCATAGTGCAGAAATTTACTTTTATTTTTAATCTTGGAGAGGTTGTCAGCTGGGCTCTAGAATACTAAATGCGTAAGGAAGTATGTGATAACAATATCTGAGTTTGAAGCTTTTGTAGTTTGGAGTATTTAGGGGAAATACATGAATGAAATAAACTAAGCAAGGAGCAAGGGAGAGGAGATGAAACAGACTCTGTGCTTGTAATGCTAATTCTGGCACCACCAAACCAAATTTCAGGAGCTGCTCACCTTGGAAGGGTTATGGATAGCAATACTACCATCTGCATGTTGTGCACACTTAAACATCTCCTGTTTAATAGATAAAGAATATTCAGAAGTTTTTAGTTCCCATAGGCACGTGGCCTGACTCTTTGTGATGTACTAAGTGAACATCCTAGTTAGCATTCAATGCACTTTATATGTGCATGCATCACAAATTTTAAAGATACTTCAGGACAAATCACTATGGAGTCTCATAAAAGCTTTAGGGTCATTCCAGGAAAACAGATGATACTTATTATTATTGCCAGATTCTGTTGAAACTTTATCTTACTTAGTCATAGGTAGATTATCTTAGTGAAATTGGGATGTCTAAAGCACATGGAAAGACATTTGCAAAATAAGATTAGTGGGCAGGTGAACCACATTTCTGCTTGGTGTGACTCAACTCTTTGTTATAATTTTGTTTTTCCCCTCAGATACGATATGGATCATTGAAATACAGAGTAAAGAAGAGACCCACTGTATACTTTTAAGTGTACTGCACAATGCCTGCAAGAGAAACTGCTGTACTATAACTTGAATTCAAGTGTTAAAGATCTGTGTACAATTCCTAAAATGAGTCTGTATGAACAGATATGGTAGGACTTGTTTTTGTGAGCCTACGTGATCAGATAAAGTATTACTCTGTTTTTATATAGTTGTTTAGATTTAAATCTGGACAAGTTACAGCATGAATTTCAGCACTCCTTAAATAGGAGTTAAAGGAGGACTAGGAAATACTCTTTTGCCAGAGGTAATTTCAACAGATTGAAATAATTACAACTCCAGTTGAATTAGCAGAAGACTTAAGTATCTAGAGCTTGTGAAAATTAAACCATAGTGTCCCCGGGTTTACACAGAAAGATAGATATACTTGAAATATTTTTCTGAACTACAATTGCTGAAAAGGCCTTTGTGTAATTTTTAAATGTACAGTTTAAAGGACAGTGGATGATGGTGGGAAAAAAAAGGAAAGATGATGTAGGTAGGATACATCCTTAACATCATCATATTGCATCATATTGCCAAGCTTAGCAAACTGGGGGTACATATAGCACTTTATGCAAAACTACATAGTTTTGCACACTCTTAATGATTTACAACTGCACATGTCATTTTACTGACTTACTAGACAGGTTTGAGTTGCATTTTCAATGCCAGCAGTTCTTGTATTTTATGATATTTTAAAAATTTATCTTGATTCCTTAAGTACACTTAGGATGCTGTAGATATTTGCTACTAACAATATTATCAGGTGCCTTTCTATGTATTATAGGGCTGTGTGGGTTTTGTCTGTGTGTGTGTTTTTTCTGGGGGGGTTTTGGGTTTGTTTTTGTTTGTGTCTGTCTTCCTCCATCTAAAGAGATGTAACATGATTTAAGTCAGTTTTTGGTTAAAATTGTGGTAAGTAAAACTCATAGCAATTCCAGTGATACACCTCAGGGATCTGATCAGCCCATGAGTTGTGTGTTAAGGTCATGCTGCCAAACAGGTATGTATGATAGGTTAGTCAGGCCCTGGTTTAGTTTTGCTCTACGTTGCTTTAAGAACAAATATATTTATATATATATGTACTTCAGAACATGTATGAGTGTATATTTCATACCATATGTGGATTCTAAAATGGCCTGTGTAGTACTTTCTTTTACTGCTGAAGTTATTACTAATATATTTGCATATAAGTAGCTTCTTCTAAAAGTCTAGTTGATTTAGTAATTTTATAACCTAGAGTCCCATGGCATAGCTGCAGAGATTGATTTTGAAATGTCTTTCAACGCAGTGACTTGTCAAAATTACTTTTTTCAGTCACCTTTGGTACTATTTTCTGCAGTTTTGAGAATTAGGCTGATTTTAGTTTGCTGTGTGATTGTATTTCTACTGTGGATTCAGGGAGAAACCACCCACTTTTTGCAGATAGTATTTTATTATGTATCTTTGGGACAGACCTTGTTACTTTCCTCAAAGAGGAAATGGCATGGATTCCTCTTATCCTTGGATCTCTGACTTTAATCCTTAGACCTTTCCCCAAGTGTTGACAGTCATCTGCAACTCTACAGCACAGACTGGCATTCAGAGTAGTCTTCTGCACACTTCAGCAGGGTTTGAATTCTGTGGGTACAAATGCAGCTGGTCTGTGTTGGTGTTGTTCCTCCCTGGCTGTGGGAAGTGTCTGCAAGCCCTGTGCAAAGTTGTGCTCAAATGCAACAGCACTTCCAGCATCTCTGAGGAACCTCAGTGCTTCAGTGAGAAGTCCCAGCAGACCATGTGTGATTAAAAGGCTAAAACCTGTAATGCTTAACTCAGAAACACAGCTGGATACCAGAAGACAGGAAGGCTGCTCTCTCCCAAATGAGTGCAGTGCAAAACTCCCATCCCCTAACCAAAACTGTACCTTGTTATCCAGCTTTTCTAAGGAGCTGTGGGCAAGGAGTGATCACAAAAGCAACCTCCCCTGGAGTGTGGGACTTCTGGCCCAGGGGTGTTTGTGCTTCTCCTCTGCTTCCCTGAGGCTTGTCTGTGTGTTAAGGTGTATAAGACACTAAGGAACCTAAGCTCTGACCCCTCTCTGAATAGTAGGCTAACCTGGGCCTGGGGTGGAATCTCTAACTCTTACTGTACAGTTGAACACTTGCTGACACATTTTGCTGTAACTGATCATGCTTGTTTTACCAGCAAGCATGGCAAAAAAAGATCATCATTGTACCAATCATAATCCTGCATGAAGGAGTAGAGTATGCCATTTTTTCAGAATTACAGCTCCTGTTACAGGTTCATGTAACTCCTGTTTTGGGGGTTGTGTTTTAAACACATTTCTAGCACTAGAGATCATTGAAGTGTTTCAGGCTCTACCACACTCCTGTCAGGAAGTTGCTCTATGTGTCTCTATGTACCTGAGGCTGTAACTTCTGGCAGACTTAATTTCCTAACTCAGTAGTGATAAAGGCTAAATAAATCCTCCTTTTTCTGGAACTTGCATGGAATTGGGAAAGCTGGCAGTATTATTCATATTCATTACTGTTTGCACAGAAATGTACTTCTGTTCTTTCAGGCAACATGATCAAACCTTCAATGTTTTCCTACCTGTTTTCTTCAGTCTAATAGCCAACTATAAAAATATTTTCTTGCTAGCCTGATTTTGATCTTTGAATTCATCCTCAAACTGGTTCACTGGATTATCTTCATTTTTTCTTGTTACTGTTCATTGTTAGGTGATGCTTGTCAGGGCACAATAGCATGATTAGCTTTCATCCCAGTGATACGTAGTTCTCGCTCTTTGTTGAATGTAGTTTAGTTTGGTTATGAAACACTACAATCTTTTAACTTGGGTTACAGGGAGTTTTCAAACTTGCCTTAGCAACTGCAGAAGTCATCTGTCTAGCTCTTGCCAGGAAACTTCTTGAAAAAAATGTTAAAAATTAATGTTTAACATTTTTTTTGGATTTGGAATGTAAAATGTAGTTCATGTCAAATTATCTTCTGAACAAGGAGTTTCCTAAGGACTGACTGACTGCCACCAACATGGCTGCTAATTTGACTGTAGTCAAACAAAGACTTGGGGTTTAAAAGTGCTTTTAAAAAGAGAATATGTATTTCCATTTAAATCATACCAAGGTTTCAAGCCTTTCAAAAATATACCTGAACTGACTCAGCTTTCTTAGCAAGAGCTTACTGTACTTATTAAAATACCAGTCTGAGATGAGGATTAAATTGGTAGCCTCAGCTGCAAATGAGCTCAGGCTGGACTTTGATTGCAATGTAATTGCCAATATTGCTAATTCCTTTGGTATGTAAAAGTAACTAAATAATATCCAACATACATTTGCAAACTATAATGAATTTTAAAATAGAAGATAACTTGATAAAAGAGAATGGTGAAGAAAGTGCTAGACACAATTCAACGTGTGCTGTTCCATGAAAAAATGTGTTTTATTTTTGGTGTTGCTTTTATTAATGGGAAGTTGGTATTTTTAAGTACTTTTTCTACGAAAATGTATGTGCAAAGGCAATACTTTAACATTTTTCAAGAACTTGTATTTTCAGATGCTACAAACAAGAGAATATAAATTTGGACTGAAGGTAGTAGCTTTAAAATATGCAATGTAAGCTTTAATTTTTATATTGTAATAATAACTTGCTGTCAACTTGTTTACATATTTGTAGGATGGAAACTTCATTATGCATTGACTTAGCTTGATGCTGTCTTTAATAAATGCTGCTTTGAGCAAGATCTGGTGGATATTTTATTACCTGAATTACTATTAACAAACTAGTCACTATGTAATCTGTATTCTGTTACTTATTATATTGGTTCAAGCACAAAAGCAACCTGTCTGAACTTTGGAAAGACTTTTAAAACTCTTTAAAGTATGACTAAACTGCCCTTGAGGTTCTGCCATGAAGTCTGAAGCTGATTTAGGCTGCAATGAAATATACTCTGCTAAAGGCAACTTGAACATGCTATGGTGTCACCTGGTTTGATTAGGTGTTCACTTCAGAGTAAATGAAAATTGAGATGTTCAGTGTCCCAAAGGAGTGTAACTTCCTGGTGAACTGCTGGACATAAAACTGATTTTGTTTTGTATTCCCTAGTCAGAGTTCTTCTGGTAATCCAGAGGAGGAGATGCATAGATGAATTTGGCCCTTTCCTTTTTCAAACCTCCTTTCAAGTCATCTGTTAACACCCCTACCAAAACCCAAGCAGAAAGCTCAGTAACCACATTTTCTGGGTCTTGTTGCAAGGCTTCCTGGTTTAGTTCCTCAAGTAAAAGAACTTCTTGATATAGTTGAGGAGAAAGATTTAAAAGACAGTAGCAATAAATAAATTTTAAGCATTATGAAAATCCATCCCAGAAGCACAGGCTGACTGTTAAGGGACCCTGCAGTGATTCAGTTTCTGATGTCAGAAAAGTTCACACAGTACAAGCACCCTGCCAAGAAATTGTGAATGTCAGAAAGCAATGCTGCCTTTTCTTCCTTTATTTCTTCAACTGGCATTTAGCACATAGTGGACCACTCCTGAATGTGGTCTAAAAGCTGCCTACCCGCTTTTTAACATGATGCTGGTAAGACCCACTCAGGGAATAATCTGATAATTCAAAACTAGTGCTGGTATGTACATCTTAGGTTAAAATCTTAAATATTCAGCAGCAGCAATGGTGACAGGTTTTTTGGGGGTGTTGTTGTTGTTTAGTTTTTTGATGTTGGGTTTTTTTTTAAAGTTCTGAGGCATTGTGTATTTTCCCCACTAGTATGTGAAAATAAATGGTGGAATATGAGGGGAAATCTAATATGTATTGTAAAATCAATGGACTTCCAGAATTATTTTCCTCCTTTCTGTAGATGTATTGAGAAACAGAATGGGAGCCTGTCTTATGTCTGCCTGCCTTTGCCAAAGTTCAGCAACAGATTGCTCTGTTTGCATTAGGATAGGAATCATGAAAGCAGCTGGAGCAGAGACTACAAGCAATTCAAAACGTAGAATTTCACTGCTGTCTGCTAATGTACGGCGACTACGTGGATGGGGAAGCTTAGAAATTATTTAAAAGTTCATTTTGTCCAGGCTGTAACAGTTCCAAGGTAAGCAGCACTTTGACCCTCACTTAGCTTTTCCTGTTACCACACTCACTATGTTGCATGGCACTCACTGCTTCCTCAGGGAGCTGCACCACCCCAGCCAATCTTTCTATTAATTTAGTAAAAATGAACTAAGTATACTGAGGGAAAGTCATCCTACCGTACTGCTTTAAACAATAGACTTTCTTTATGTGGCTGAGGAGAAATACTTTCTTAAAAAGCCCCAAAGCAAACCTAAAACCCTGTTTAAAGTTAGTGTAATGGTAAGTAAATGTAATGCTAGGAAAAATGCAGCCATAACCATGTGTGTTAGTCTTGAAGGAACTGAACCAATGGAACTCACTGTGCTTTTGTCAAACTCCTTTTTGCCAGGTTTAATTAATGATGGTTAATATCTCTATTCATGCTAACTTGAAGGGAGTTTCTTATGCTGTTCATAGGATGTGGAGCATTTAGGTGTTACTCTGCAAACCCCAGGGTGAAGAGAGCATTTATAGTAGTTCAGATTGATCAGTGAACAATCTTCTGGCCTTTGGAGAAGGCTACTGAGCAAAATAAACCTTTGGTAGTGGCCTGCAATTATCTAGCCTAGATTAAATCTTGATAAAAAACAATGCTTATCTTAAAATTGAGGTAATGAAATAAGGAAAGGTGCTCCCTTGTTCAAACCATGATGGAACAACTGCCAAGCAATTCTGCTCTTCTCTGGGATGTCTCTTGCAGCTCCCCTTTGAGTGCCTGTTTGCTGGAGAGATGTGGCTGTGTCCCTGTGCATCCTGCCTGGACCTACCTCCTCTCTTGGCAGCCCCTTCTCTCCTTGGCAACAATTTTGTTGGCAAGCTACAGTTGATCTTGAAGAATATTTAACAAGCTCCCTTTGTGCAAATAAAGTAGAGAGCTACATTCTTCTAAAAGTTATATTCTTCACATATCACTATATCAGGCTTGTTAAAACACAAACATGCAGCCACTAAGCAGCAAAAGTACCAGTTTGTAAAAGCAATCCTTTCTCTTTTTCTGCCCTGCAAGAGCTGCTTCTGTAAAGTTTATTTCCTTTATTTTGTTGATGGAGATTAAACTTAATGGAACTTAAATATTCTCAGTTCTGTTCTGGTTTTGTAGGGACAGTGTTCTCAGAAAAACTCCAGAGTGGCTCTTATGTTCTGCTTCAGGAACACTGTACAAGCTGTCTGTGTGTCTTGCCCCATCAGGAAATAGTATTTCAAATCCACTCTCAGTTAATTTTCTTCTCTTTGATGATTTGTGATTGTACTGCCTCAGTTTATATTTTGGACGAGGTAGAAAATATATTTTATAAAGAAACCTATAGTTTTTTTAAACTTTTATTTTTTATTATAAACGCATGTGCACAATAAGATTCTCAAATACCAATGAGTAGCCCATAACTAGTTCTGAGCATTTTTATGAGCCAAGACATTTTGCTGTAATCCCTTTCTGGTTCTCTTCAAGAGCTTAACGTGTGTGGTGAGGAAAGGCACCAGGGATCACTTATTGTTCAGAAAGCACAGCATTAACTCTCTAAGTACTACAGTAGTGAATGTGCATTGTACTTCTTAATGAAGAGATTTTAATACCTGCTCACTGCAATAACTGTGCTGGTTTAGTGGTGAAATAACTATGCTTTTCACAGGTCCTTGTTTTAATAGTCTTAGATAAGTTGCCTTGCCAAAGCTTGGGAATTGGGGTGCAAGTAATGTTGCTTACCACATGGAACAATTTTAATTTATTACAATGAAATTTCCAGGAGGAGACATGTTAGAATCTGTTATGGAGGAAAGGATATGACTACTATTGGCTTACCTATCAAACTTTGAATAAAACTTTAATGGAATATAAAACAAGAAGTGGGGAATAAGAGAATATTTTTGATAGTTTTTATTAATGGGGGAAGGGCATACTTTTAATGAGGTTTTTTTTTTAATAGTGGTACTAATTGAACAAGAAGCCTACAAATTAAGCCTTGCATCATCCCTGTTTTTTGCTGGAATGCTCATTGGAAATACCACATTTAGCCTTCTGTCAGATAAATTGGGCAAGAAACCAGTGTATATTTCAGGTAAGATTGTTAAAAGGTTTTTCTTAAGTATTCTACATGGAAAACATCTTTCTTGCCTGCCCCTGGGCCACCCTGCTGAAACGCTGCTCCTGGGTCCCTTGCTCTGTCAGTGAGCTGTTTGAGCATTTCACTCAGAGTGGAAGAGCACTGAAACTGGTTAGTGCCAATGTGCTGAGCAGCGCAGAGGTCATGGAGTATTAGTGGCAGGTGAAAAAAACTGGTTTTGCCATGGCTGTCTCTATTGGAGCATAGTATTCCACACATTACCTAACTATATTGTTCCAAATAAAAAATATTTTGCTTTTTTCCAAGGGGGTAGAGGAGACCACTTTACCTAAGCATCTTCAGGAGTGGGATAATCATGTCCTGGTGTTTTGTTTTCCAGCTGTGTTTGCAAACAAAGGGTCTTGTTAGATGAAAACACTGTCTCAAGGAAATGCCAGGAGTCTTCTTCCTCCTCCTTTCTTTGTAAGTGGTTCACATGCATTTATAATGATAAGAAAAAAGATGCCGTAATTAAGTTACTTTTTCTTGTCATCGTTTGAGTGAGTGGCAAAAATGAGGATGACATTTTTCTTTACGGGTTTGTGAACCAAGCAAGATGAAAATTATATTGTGTGCAGGAAGAAGGGGTGTTAAGTGAAGCAGAAAGTCAGGGTTACCCAAAAGACAAGCTTGTGTTTGTGAATGTTGTTACAGCTGTGGTGGCCAGCTGTGTGCCAGCTGTCCAAGAAAACTTGATTACAAATCTACTTGGGGAAGGGAGGGAAGGCTTGCCAGAGCTGCGAGCTGGAGCATCTGCCAGTAGCACTGCTTCTTGCCAAGGCAGGGCTTCAGCACTCCAGAACTTCTGGAAGTCATCCTTGGGAATTTTAGAGTTTCTTTCCATGAGATGCATGCAAAGGGAAATAAGTGAGAGCACTTGGAATTACCTTTTTAGTGTGTTCTGCTATGTATTTGCTTGCTTTGTGGGTTCCTTGTGCCTGTTCCTAGTGCTGGGTGCTCCTGTTTTGAATTCCTACACTGGCTCTATCATAATAATGATTATAAACTCCTTCAGTAAGTAAGGGATTAAGTGCTAGCTTTGTCTGGCCTGTGTTCTTAGAGAATGTTCTTTTAAAATAAGTTACACACCTCGTATGTTCCTGATGACTAGTTAAAGCTGCAGAAGAAATAAAAGCATTAGTGTTATAGGTTGCCTGCACATTCATACAAGGAATGTCTGGCATATAGCACAGATTGAACAAAGCTCTTCTGATTTAATTTTTTTAGGTAGAACAGCTCTTGAAAGAAGTTCTGTTAAAGGCTACACTAAAAAGCCCACTTCTCTTCCTGTAGTCAAAGAATACAAAGCCTGAGGGCACCAAAAAGAAGTTCTGCATTATATATTTTCCTCTATGGTGTTCTGTTTCTGATGAAGTAGAATTACTTCCCCAAATACTAAAAATACTGGGATCCTTCGAAGTAATGAAAGTTGAGTTTGGTTGTAGGATGCATATCTCAGTTAAGACTGCCAGAAAAAATAAATGTTCAGTTCAAAATATTCCATTCCTTATTTTATGGCTCATATAAAAGCT